ACAAATCAGATGATTTAGCAGTGTTAGGATCTGATAATCAGTATGATGTGCTATGCTTGAATGAACATTGGTTGTCTGAGGGTGAATTCATTGTTAATCAATTAATAGGTTATACACCAGTATCAAGCTTTTGTAGAAAAAATAAAACGCATGGTGGTGTAGCAATCTTTATAAAAACCAACGTTGATGCGGCGCCTTTGCCAGCTTCAGTTTTTGTAGAAAAGGAAGAACAGACTTTTGAGATAGCAGGCTCTTATATTAACAATATTCAAATTATTTCGTTATACAGAAGCCCTAACAGCGATTTCGATACATTCCTTAATAAGTTATGTACTACACTTGGTCGCTTAAATTACGAGAGGGATATAGTTATAGCAGGCGATTTTAATGTGAAATTCACCACCAATGACACTCGAGCACACCAAGTCGAAAGTCTATTTCGCTGCTATGGATTGAATAAAAAAGTCAGCACCAGTACTAGGAGGCATAACTGTCTGGACAATATATTCACAAACATAGACAGGCCCTACGGTGTCACAGTTTTTGAGAGCTATCTGTCTGACCACCTAGCAATTGAATTTACATGTGAGCAAAGTAAGAATTTACGAACGTTTAACAGAGTTACTTTTAGGCCAATTACGGATGAGAGTCTTTTCAATCTGTACATGGAAATTGAGAAGGTTGACTGGTCATTCATCGGGGGAAATGTTAACATCGAGCAAGCCTTTGAAACACTCATTCATCTAATCAGCAGTAAAGTTGAAAAATGCCTTCCATATAAATCACGTATCTTTGGTAGCGATAATAAAGGGGGAAGAAAAATAAATTGGTTTGACAGTCATTTGCGTGCTATGAGAGACCGTTTGAGGCTCCTGATGGATTGGTGCAAAGTTAACCCACAAATAGTTACCAAACAAGCTGTTAACGAGTATAGATCACAATATCGACAGGCTATCGCTAATAGCAAAAAACAAGCACCCGACTTGTATATAAACAATTCGAGCAACAAGCAGCTAGCAATGTGGAATATTATTAGATCCAATGTTCCAGCTAATAATCAGACCAAAAGCAACATCTTGAATGCTAACGAATTCAATTCATACTTCTCAAGTATAGCGCAGACGCTCATTGACAATATTCCTCCAGCAAATCGTGATGCACTACTTGGTTCATACTGATAACATCGACCTTTTTTTGTTCAAAGAAGTATCCTACAATCAAGTCAGATCAGCGATTTCATCACTAGAAAATTCTAAGAGTACAGATGTACATAAATTGAATTCAAAAATTATAAAGACCATAATGAATCTGATTATCGTTCCACTTGCTAAACTTTTTAATATTTGTATTCGAAATAGTACTTTTCCTAAAATTCTCAAGATATCCAAAGTCATTCCAATACTTAAAAATGGATCGGGTGATGTGCTTTCCAACCATCGACCAAGTTCTCTAATCTCATACTTTGCTAAGATTTTTGAAATTATGCTAGAGGATCAACTAACCTCTCATCTAGAGTCAAGTCAATTATTTAATGACAAGCAGTTTGGATTTAGACGGAACAGATCTACTACTACAGCAATCAATTGTCTTATAGATCTTGTTAACGAAGGATTTGAGAACCATCTCCATACCAAGGCGGACCTTTTCGATTTATCTAAGGATTTTGATTGTCTGCAACATAGTATTTTAATAAAAAAATTACCTTATTATCACATTCATCCTTCTAGCATCAAGATTTTAGACTCTTACTTATCCGACAGAGAACAACTAGTGCATTTCAATGGCTGTAACTCTGATACCAGATCAGTGATCCATGGAGTTCCTCAGAGTTCCGTACTGGGACCACTGCTGTTTTTATTATACATTAATGATATCCCCAATAGCCTGTCAGATACGCACAATGCTGCTTTGTTCTTATATGCTGATGACACTACTTTGGTAAATTCTAATAAATATGTAAACACCCTTGTCGAAACTAGTTCATTGTGTAAGTCGGACCTTGAGGATTGGTTTGCTGCCAATATGCTATTGCTCAACACTGATAAAACTCAGTCTATAATACTAAGCTTACGGAGTCATGAGTTGGAATCTGCCCAAACAGCGAAATTGCTAGGCGTTCATATTGACTGTACTCTGACATGGGAGGTGCATACTCGCTGTGTGGTGGATCGTTTGTCCAGAGTTATATATCTCATACGTAGTCTAAAGGATAGAGTATCTGATAAAGTTTTATTAACTGCTTATCATGCATATTTCCACTCTAAAATGACATATGCAATTTTGGTCTGGGGACACTCTCCACATGTACAAAAAGTGTTTGGCATGCAAAGGCGTTGTATACGATACACCTCTGGTTTGAAATATAGAGACCCCTGCAAGGCTGAATTCATTAAATTGGCCATACTAACCCTTCCATGTGCGTATATTTTGAGTTGTCTCCTATATATCAAAAGCAACATTAGTACCTTCCCCACTCATAGTGATAACCACAAATATGAAACACGAAATAGAAACAACATTTGTCATAATAACTACCGTCTAAAAAAATCAAGAACTGGAACAAACTTTTATGGCATTAAATTTTTTAATCTGCTGTCCAACAATATAAAAACATTGGATATTGATGTTTTTCATAGGAAACTCAAGTATTATTTAATAAAAAACGCATTCTTTAGCACGGACGAATATTTGGCAAATGACTTTACTGATATACCTGAAATGTTTATTTATTCATTTCTCTCTCCAACTTATGTACAGTTGTTATTGTTTTGTTTGTCTGTATGTGTACAGTTAATTGTATTATACATATATTTTTCTAAGCGATCTTCTTTTATCTCATGACGACATTTTGTTATTGTTTTTTTTCAATTTGCTTTTAGTAATTATGCGTTACGCAGCATTGCATTGTTTTTAACTTGTTTCATTCATGTTTGATGTACATTTTTCTAAGCGTTCTATTAGTATATATTGACTTATGTAAACACTTTCTGTATATTAACATCAATAAATTATTGTTATTATTATTATTATTATTATTATTATTATTATTATTATTATTATTATTATTATTATTATTATTATTATTATTATTATCAAGTTCCTCTTCACTTGTGTGAAAATCAATAAATAAATTAGAACCTTTAGTAATGATGATTGAATTTCTAACAATTATAATCTTAATATAACAATATTAACAAATGGTAACATTGTTTACAGGTTCCGACGACTTCTGATGAATGGAGAAAGATATCAGATTTATTCAAAGATCGATGGAATTTTCCAGACGGTATTGGGGCTATAGATGGTAAACATATAGTGATAATGTCTCCCATACATAGTGGTAGTGAATATACAAACTATAAGGGAACATTCAGTATAGTACTTATGGCTTTGTGTGACGCAGGTTACTGTGTAATATACAGTAATATAGGTTCGCAAGGCCGAATATCAGATGAAGGTGTATTCAATAATTCTACCTTGTATGCAGCGTTAGAAAATAAGACCTTAAATCTACCTCCTGATAAACCTTTGCCAATGAGAGAAAAACCTGTACCTTATGTTGTTGTTGGTGACAATGCTTTTCCTCGGAAATATTACCTCATGGTTCCTTACATTGGAAATCATGACAGACGCACACCAGAGCGTATATTTAACTACAGACTTTCTAGAGCCCGCAGGATCATTGAAAATGTATTTGGAATTATGTCTGCAGTATTTCGAGTTTTACGAAAACCCATTTTATTGAATCCAGATAAAGCTCGATTGATCACAGAATGTTGTGTATTGCTACATAATTTTCTAAGAAGAAGTAGTAACTCAAGAAATATGTACACACCTCCAGGTACATTTGATAGAGAACAAGAAGGTAAAATTGTCTGCAATGGGTCTTGGAGGAACGAAACTAACCAACAAACATCATTTTTATCATTACAAAGAAAAGGTAGAAGAACGTGCTCAGATGTGAAAAAAATTCGCGACGACTTTGTTACAAACGGCAAAATTTAGTGGCAGGACGAATATCAATAATATTTTGTAAAGTTAGCGGGTAAATATAGTATGTCTGTGTGTTTTTTATTAATAAAAACATACTTACCATTGTGTCTGTTACTCCATGCGGTGTATAAACATCCTTCATAAATTTGTCCAGTGCTTCATAGGCAAACCAAATTGGTTTATAAGCATAACTTGTTCCGGCTCCCGACTTTCAACTGTTCTTATTTTCCGCCTACAGTTTCTATAACATTGCAATAAAGTTGAATATTTCCTGCTAATTTCTTCAGCAGTCACTCCGAACTTCTCTGCCAACATTGTAAAGGCGTCACGTTTTTTATTTTTATTTTTATTGTCTTTATCTCTTGGATACCACAAACAACGCAGTTGTTCAATATCATAGATCAAATCTAGCACACGTGCATCAGACCACTCATATTCTTCTTCTGTCATGATTTCTAAATATTCTTCTTAAGAAAAACCAAAAAACGCGGAATTATGTAAATATACGAGTAAACATAACCTAAAAACCTGTACTCGTGTGCTCGAACAAACTAGCGCGCACCACAGATGCGCACAACGAATGGACGAATCAACGACAAATTTCGCGAATCAGTGGTTCGTCGCGATGCGCAGCCTTTGATATTCGTTAATATACCGCTCTCAAGAGCGAATTACTATGCACACGCGAATCATGTTGTTTACGAATCGATTTTTGACGAACAAGTCCCTAAACGCTATTCGTGAACTACCCGCGAATTACGCATCGTGCATCACGAATCGCGAATACATGCATAGTATGTAGCCAGCTTTAGACGGCGACCGTTTTCCACGCTGCATCTTTGTTGTGCCGGGGCGTAGATGGACTACGAATAGGGTATAGCACTGTCACGAGCTTTTTAAACGATATCTTCCAGGCTTATTCAATATAGCCATACTATTTCGTAAGTTATTATAAAAACTGATAGGATTATACCTACCCACAAAATATGTGTTAAAACAGTAAAACGTATGACCTGCATATCTGTATTTCCATCATCTTTAGTTGTGGCATAAGGATAACTAATTCGTGACTTTCATCATGTTACTTTATATAAATCATAGGTGAAGCTACAGTCAATAAGTGAATAAAACATCGACATTGTGAGACAAAATGTATAAAACTGTATATAGAAAAAAGTCGACGGCTAGTAAAGTTAATAAAAATACAAAAGTCTGTGGGCTTCAAATCACTAGATAATTTTTCAAAAATGTATATGCATCACCGGGAACAGTGGGAGCCGGCTTCCTGGTTCTATGGATAAATCATTTACTGTCCATGTGCGCCGTATCTTGGAGGTGCCTATGTCTCCTTTTCTGCTTCTTACTGAAAGATAAATAAAACCATGCTTAGATCCACTTTATTACTCTAACTCAACCATTATGCTATATAATAAATTGAATAGTGTAGACCCAGCTGGTACAAGCGCCATAATGACGTCGAAATTTGGTGATAACCCGTCAACTGATATGAGAGTTTCAAATATCGACATCGTGAAGACCTCTACTAAATGTCCAATTGCGCACTGTACTGTAGGACGTTACTATGTTTCTGGAAGCTATTTTTTTAATCATATTTAATTTGTAGTAATGGGAACTAACAGCCCATCGTAGATTTTCAAAATTTTTCTAAAGCCTATAATTTGAAAAGTACACGACTTAGATTTTTTCTGTATTTATCTGCATGCATAAAGAAACGGTTTCTATTCTTCCTACCCCTGCTCTAATTCTGGTTGTTTTCATTCTCGTCAACGTCCATCGGCTGCGGATTGGGGACCGGTGCCGGAGGTAAAGCAGGATTCAAGTTAGCGTTCAACTGCTGCAAGATGTTTAATTGTTGCATGTTGGCGTTGACAACAGCTGCGATGTTCTCTTGCTGTTGGTTGATGGCTATATTGTGGCCTACGCCGCCCATGTTGCGCTGATTCTCTAATGCTATCATCTTCTGGCGTTTCTCCTCCATGAGTCTGTCCCTGCGTGGAAACAAGAAATGCTGTTAGCTGGAAGAATAAGAGAGAAAAGTGTGTTCGTACGGTGAAGCATTCATCAGTGATCGCCAATGATGGATAAGGTAGGACAATAGGTCATTTTAGGGAATTGCGTTTTGACATCAACATATCCAAGTCGCTGACGAGCATCATGAAGAACATAATATTCTCTTTCAGAATAAATTGTAATTTGGTTTTGTCATGAACACAGCTGCTGTATATTAATTCGATATTTGAACTGTTGCAATTCTGGGAAAAAAAGTTGTCACAACTCGTCGCCAATAACACGAAGTGGCGTATCTCACAAAATACCAAAATTGAGTTAAGACAATTTTATTACTGGAAAAAGGTTGCTCTTCAATATCACAAAATGGCATATGTCAGTTTCTGATACCTTCAGAGTTACAGAAAAATAATATTACACTTATCTCATTTCAATAGGAAAATAAATTTCACGAGGGAGCTTAACTCAAGTTACGCCAATTTTGTGAAATTATAAAATATACACATCATTTTACAGCGTATGGCTTATCTAAGCTACGTTAGTTCGTAAAATTGTAGTGTTAATCTTATTACTATATGCACTGTGACGTATAGATCTTTTTGTCTTCACCTTCAGCTCGAACACAGCAAACACTGAGTTTTGCAAACGTAATATTTCCCAGTATTCCAGAGACAGCTAAAGGTTAATTTAGGGCAGAAAAAATTGTATTAGCTCAATTCGATTCTTTCCATCAATGGTCCCACTTTCGTGGCAAAAAATTCTGGACCGTACTGGCTCTAACTAAGTTACATACCTATGCTTATGGATGTAGTCTTGCACGTTTGGAAGACCATCGATGACACATGCGGACAGAGCAGATCTGTAAATGTTCATATCGGTCGCTTCATACCATTCATTTGTCCTCTCGTCATAGCATTCTACGTGGTAAATGGTCGTTACACCTATAGTAGACCTCGACTTTAATATCAATTCAATTCAACTTGATGCTGTAGTCTGAAAGTTTCGTCTAGCAGGGTTGTCGAATAATAAAATTAAATAACAAATATACACTGTTTTCACTTCTTAGTACACTTGACATGCAATCTAGTTCTGTGAACATCATCAGTGCTATTATGTAATTTTATAGCTGGCTAGAACTACTTGTAGGTGCTTTGTCACGTGACAACGGAATTCTAGTCATTATTGTCGTTTCGGAATTATGTAACTAGATCTAGTTTGTTTGAGGGCTATGAAAGGGCGTCGATTGTAGACGAGTAGACATAGGCTGTTAAAAGAAATCTAGACGCTGCTATGATTCTGAAGTGAGTCAAAATTTATTTGTAAGATAACAAGTTGACATAATATGCTTAGACTCCTTTCTCTCCTTCAAAAATTTCTAGATTACACTTGTCTCGTGTCAGCGTCAGCGCTGTCCTATTGTGAAGATATGTTTTCTTTTTAAATTGTAGGAAATTTCAGGCTGATCAAACATGATATAACTCAAAAGCAAGCACAATTTGATGCAAATAGATGTTTGTGACATAACCTAAAAATAGAGTTCTGACACGGAGAAGTAGAAAACTATGACAATCAAGGAGGCCATAAAGGTGCCCTACAATTGTAGGGACGACTGACGATACGGGCCTTAGTACGTGATATGGCCACCAACGTGAGCCATTCGGCAATCAAGACCCCCATAAAGATTGGCTGGTACTTAGAAGGCTTTGAATGGAATAACTCAAGAGGTTATCGATATTTGTCTGATTGGAATATTTTTCCAATATGTAGTAAAGTCTATGAAATATAAGCCTAAACGGTTCTTGAGCACTTGTTCTGGAACTTGTAGCTCAGATTAGTATAGCTTTATGTTTGCAGAATCCTTATGCTATGGCCAGGATTGTAAGACATTATAATGGTGACAACAGCACTCGTCGGTTGTCGAGAAAAGTGACACAACTCAAAAATCACGTTTTTTGAGATATATGCATGAATGATCGGCAAAAAGTGCATATTTTCATCACACGAACCGTCACTACTGTAGTTTGAAAAACGGCCGGTAGATAGCAGAAGTGTCACTTTTCTTTTCAGTAACTATTCACCTGCGCGTCTCAAGAAAAGTGTCATAACTGGCCATAACCTCAGTTGTGCCCGGCACGTCTCGCAGTGTGGTAGTGCGTTATCAAGAAAAATGACACATTTTGACTTCGGCTATGTGATCTGAACGCTGTTATCAAGGAAAATGACACATTTTGTTTTGTGACGATTTTGATAATAAGGTAGGTAGCATACTTAGTTGAGTCTTATCGTGTATGTCTTTAGTCTTCTGTTATGTCGTCCTTTCTGATAATAAGTGATTATTTTCTGACAATGCTTTACCAGTTTCATCCTAATTTTGAGTTATGATGGTGCTCTTCATAAATTTACCTCGAAAAATATGTCAGTTTTTTTCAACACTTTAATATGCCATTTTAAATAAACATGATGATTTTGTTTTAGGTCAACTATGTACCTTTTAACAATGTTTTTGTCGTTCTGAGAATCTTATTAGATTTCTTTCCAGAAAGTGATGGATTTGAGGACTCAGTGATGTAGAAAATGTGGGAATATATGGACAATCATCAGAAACTGGTAAGTCGGTTAAGTCGTGATGTCTTAAGTCAAATGTAGGACTATTTAATTCAACCTGTAGATGCTCTTATGGAGAATCTAAACGAGTAATATTTTGGTGAAATATTTTATTGTCATTATGGCAACCTGCCATATACTGGAATATTTTTATAAACGATTGCTATAGTTCCAGTGAGATATTTTACAAAAATATTGCCCGTTTAGAGGTTCCATTACAAAGAAAAACTTTTCCATCATTGAATTGAACTCTACAAATGTTTGAAAAAATGGAAGCTACTTGAGCTACTATTGATTCTTTTTTCTCTTTTAGGATCTGGCAAAGACCCCACAGCACCTAATTCACTACCTCCAACGGATCTAACTTGTGAAGGAGAAAACGCGTTACCGCATTTCAGAGATGTTACAGAGATTGTAGATTCATTCTTGACAGCTAGCTCATCAAAAATAAACGATCAACTGATTGATCTCGACTATGGCCTGCTTGATTCCCTAGGCACAGAAAAGGGCGAAGAGATACATCATACTGATCACCACTCCAGAGAAACATTTTCAAACATACTAGAAGCTCAAAATACAGAAGTGGAGTTCGACGATATTGAGTCACCCTGTGATTTAATTTTAGAATTTACGAATTAAAAACAAACGATGTCCACTGCTACATGTGGGATGAGTCTGAAGGAAACATGGGTGTCTGAGAAATAGGTACATGCGTATTAAATTACATTGAATCTCTAGAAAGTATAGCTAATCAAATATATAACAAGAAGATTGACCTTATCTTTTACTCTGATAATTGCTGGGGACAGCAGAAAAACCATGTTATGTTTAAAATTTACCATCATGCTGTCCAAAGATACAATTTTATCATCTCAATAAGGCATAAGTTCCTCATCAAAGGACATACCCAGAATGAAGGCGACAGTGCCCATTCCGTGATTGAACGACATGTCAAGCGTTCGTTAAAGTCAGGTCCCATATTTATTCCAGCCCAGTATGTATGTATAGTATATAGTATGTATAATACGAACGTCCAAAGTATCAGGTAGCCCCTACCGAGTGCATGAGCTGAATCATGAAGACTTCCTTGATTTAAAAGATTTTGCTTCTACGGCAGCAAGAAGCTTCACAAAAAATGATATAAATGAAAGTATCAAGATAACAGACATTAAAGTAGTAAAGCGGATAAGAAAAACGCTAATAAAATACTTTATAAAACATCTTACGCTGATGAATACCAAACCATTAATATAGGGCTTTCTAGATACTGAAGAAGACGAAACGTTTGGTAATCAAAAAGCTATATCGAGTTAAACCAGGGATTACTGAAAAAATGAAAAGTACTATTTTAAGTTTATTCAACCAACAAAATAACCGTTCTGTGATTCCTATGACTTACTTATAGTAGTATTAGTAGTAGTATTATAGTAACTTGTAAAAGGTACTTTTAGTGATATTCTCGGCATTATTATTTATTTTTGTAATGTTCCTACGTTTTGCAATGGTGCTTATTATTTTTTAATTCTGTGCTGTAAAACAGCCTCAATTTAGAGTGACTGTATCACTCTGTACATAAGTTTTGTTTCATATTTCCATATATTTTTTTTAATAGAGAATGTTTTATTTGCATTTGTTGGAAAGGAAATAAATACAGGTTATTTACCAAATGTACGTTTAATTAATAAAAAAGTTGTTAAAGAGATGGCATTGTGACTCTCATGTTTATCACGAACAATGACATAAATTTACAAATATGTTGTTTTTTTTAGCACTTCAAATCAAATTTCATCAGAACTTACCATGAAGAATAAGGTAGTCATATCTAAAATACAAAACAATCAAAATAATTGGTGTAAATCGATTAGGAAAACAACCAAGCGATAAAAACGATTCCCAAATCCTGGATGAAAATCAATCAGTTGGATTTTTCATGAAAGTTTGTTTGCAATTCTTTTGGGATAGTTAGTAACTTCTTACAAGTGCGTGCAAATCTCTCCATGGCGGTATTGTGGTTTGTAAGGCTATATTCCATTGCTTACAGATATACGTTTGTTTGTGATTTGATGTTGGATGGTCGGCGATTGAAACTAGTTTTTAGCTGTTAAAACCATATGTTCTGAAGTGTAAAGAACCGAAACCAATATTACAGTTAACGAACGTGACGGGAAATATTTCGTTCGTTTAGATTGCAACTACAAGTGACAGTGACAAAACAATGACGTTTTGCATATGCAAGAGCTTGCACGTACTCGTACTGTAGATTGTTGAACAGTTTTGAGAGCCACTTGAACATGAAACGGCAGACTTGTTAGAGGTTCATGATCATTTTGGGATGTTGGCCAATTATGGAGACTAGAACCTTTAACACCGTCTTAAAAATGATAGTCGGACTGATACGTATAGTTACATAATTCCAAAAGACTATACTCAGTGTGACTAAAGCTCAATTACTCAACTTTTAGCCCCCAGTTGTAGTCTTCTTGCCGTAACAACCTTGCTAAGGGACCTTTCTCAATGTAAGATTTGCATTAGGACTGGTCCAAGCCCTTGATTTGCGGCATAATTTGTTGCTTCGCACCTAGCTTACCGTTAAATCCCCCAATAGCAAATATCATATCATCGATGACCTCAATCGCGAAGTTGCTTCTGGGATTGTACATATCTGGAATGGGAGCCCAGGTATTCGCCTGGGGGTTGAACTTCTCGCCGCTACACATTCTGGAGATTCCATTAAAGCCTCCGATCACGTACACCTTATCAGACAGTGATTGTCAGTTTCATGCAGTGTTAAGCAGAAGCCCTCCAAGCCACATTGCTGGACGTGTGACACATGCCAAATATAAGGATCAAGGCCTCGAAGCACCAGCAAATTTATTTGACAAAGAAAATGCCTCATACTGACAAGTACCAGTCGCAGATCTGTATTCAAAGTCGTATTGTGTTGTTTTTTACGCTATGTATCCGTAATTTCTATCAAGGCCTTTATTTGAAAAAGTTTCGACACACAAAGAAAATACTTACTACCAATATGTCAGCTAATGGCCGTGACTATATTTCAAGTCAGATATATGAAAAAAAAATTGCGTTTCGGACATATATTTAGCTCTGAACACGGTCTTGTACTTCACCAGATTCATCATTGCCAATAGATGTTTCAACATAAAGATGTCAGCTGCTGGTCATATATATTCAAAAAATTATCTGAGATTAAATGAGATATGGTAGCCTAGTCTTACTAAGGTTCAAATTTGGCTGACGCCGTAATGTGTACGAGATAGAAGCGAGCAATATGTATGTTAGAAAGAGTGCGCCGATGGCGCGAACTCGGGCTGCTAGACAATTAGGTGCTTCTATCTCTTTCTAACACACGTATTGCACTCTTCTAGCGCTTCTATCTTGTACACATCACGACGTCACTGGTAATTCGTTTTCAGTGTATATATATTTTGAAAAGGTTAGTGTCTCATAGATGGCGGTACCTATATGCTCGTATATGCTCATATAATTCGCCACAGCTTATATATATAATACATTAGTTTTTTCAAAGTACATATTAAAAATAGGAAACCAGCATTGACAAATTCTCATAGATGACGTTACGATATTTAATTTTATTACGAATAATAATAGAGACGTCTGTACACTTACCGTTTCTTTTAAATATAATATGAAAGCAGTCTTTACCACAATACACTCATATTAGATTCATTGATTAAATTCCACCATTCAAAGAATTATTTGAGATAAAATAAATACCCATAAAGAGTTTTCACAGATGTTTTCCTATTTACTATATATCTCATATATAGCGCTGTAGCCATTTATATACTTGTATATGCTCATAGAGAAGACACTAACCTTATAGTTATATATATATATATATAATAGAGAAACAGCTATCTATCTTATTTTGGATAATTTTTTGGTTGCGGGAATATATCATTAAGTAGGCTATCATAAAGTTAAATACGTTATAGTCTAATCATATTAGCAAATTTACCCGAAATAATTGTAAAGTTTGGTTTTATTGGTGCAAGTTGTTCAATTGGGTATTTTTAAAACATGGACGCTTTAAATGGGTACAACAATTTTTCTGGAAAAACTTTATATTTGACAACAAAGAATGAGAAAACGTGTCTGTTGGGATTAATTCGAAAGTGTTGACAGGAACGAAAAAACTTTTCATACAAGACTCTTAGGAATTTATGAGACCTACAAAATGAGACCACACAAAAACATTCGACTAATAGCAAAAATGTTATGACCTAAAAACGAGGCAAAATGCAGGTTGTGAACTTGTTGGTATTGAGACGATAATTTCACGCAACTACTTGAAATTCTTTAAGTCCGTATTCATACTTCTGCTTAACAACGACAAATTTGGATTATATTGGTCAAGTAGTTTTTTGAGAATTTCTAATTGCTTATCCCAAAACCCCTGTTTTCCGGTCATCACTACTAGTTTATTTAAGCAATATACAGAGTAATAACAAATGCGTTACGATATTCGAAAAACATACGTCACTATACACATTTTAAAACAAAGCGACTGTGTCTATCATCTTTTGTTGCGAATTTCTCACAAATGTTTGAATTTGTTTAGAAGAAAAAACGTAACCCATCTTTTTTGCATAAAAACAAAATTTATCATCTGGAATGGTTTGCGATTTATATCGGCAAGGTAAACTAGTGTATTTTGCTATAAAATGCCCTTCGAACTAACCCTGTATATTGCTCAATAAACTAGTGGTGACGGCCGAAAAACAAGTATTTTGGGATAAACAATTAAAAAATCTCAAAATCTTCTAGACAAATCTACTCCAATTTTGTTGTGGTTATCTAGAAGTACAAATCCTACGAATTTGAAGAATTTCAAATATCAGCGAGAAACCATCGTCGAATTACCAACAATGCCAAAACTTGCAGTGTGGCTTGGTTTTCGACCATAACTTTTTTGATTAGTCGGATCTTTTTATGTGTGGTCTCATTTTGTAGGTCTCATAAATACCTAAAAATCTTACATGGACAGTTTTTCCGTTCGTGTCAGCACTTTCGAATGAATCCCAGAGAACACGTTTTCTCATTCTTTGTTGTCGAATAAAAAGTTTTCCCACAAAAATTGGTGTACCCATTTGTATACCCCCCTTGAACAACTGGCAGCAATAAAACCAGACTTAACAATTATTTCGCAAACCAGGGGTATTTTCGTCTAATATCGTATAATTAGACTGTTAGACAATTCTAGTCCTTGCAGCCAAACCATAGTGCTGTATGTAAAAAGATTTAGCTCAACTTCTAGTCACAAAATTTACAGCATCTGCTGAAGCATACTTCCGGCAGTGCTAAGATTCAGCTGCGGGGTACTGAAGAACCAATCTAGAAATGGATATATGTAAAATAATTCGGCACCTTGACTACCTGGCGATAACCACGTGTATACAACAGAACCATGCGGATTTGCACCGAGTGACATTAACGCATCTTCCTTAACGTCGCTTGGCCTCTTTTTCGCATCTGCCTGTTTGGAGCAGTATTCTAAATAATTTTCATCTGTTTATTTTATGGTGTGAATAAATATGACTGAAAAACGATGTTACCGAATTATTTTTTTTTGTCCAAGAAATGTATTTTTTGTACACTTTATTGAGCATTTTTCCTCCAATCGTAACTGTAGTTAACAAATATTAGTACCTACAGCTATGCTCTTTGTGAAAATTCCGCTTTTGCGGAAGAATTGAGAGGGTTGTTATTTTTTTTTCTCATCACTTTTTGTCTTCGAACCTCTGATTTTCTTGAAAGCTCATTTTGCAGCCAATAGGGTTTTGAAGAAACCAATAATTTTTTTTAAAGGGGATAGTGATAAGAAAAAAGTAATCACCAGCTAAATTCTTTCATGAAAGTGGAATGCTCACATACAATTTCAGAGCTGTACTATTATTTACAAGTTACGATTGAGAAAAACATGCACAGCAAATGCACCAAAAATAGATTGTTTGACAAACAGGAAAATAGTGACATCCTTTTTTAGTTGTCACTATTCACATGAATAGTATCAAGAATAATCCTTCAGACAGACTGTTGAAAAAAGGGACATTCGACGTTATGTGAAATGCTTGCCAGCTACATCTTATTGGTATTTTTCGTTCTATATTTTAGTCTCGAGAGGATTGTGTCTTGCAAAAAGCTACCAACCCACTTGTTTCAATATTGATCCAAGTGGAGCATGAAATACTGATGTGGATATTTGATGAAGAAACTGACAAGTTACACTGTCTCTGTTGGTAGCTTTCTGCAGATCAATGACAATATTTATGTAATAGAGAGAGAGAGATTAATCTCGTTCCCGCTAAAATTAGAGTAATGTCCAAAAAAGTAAGAAAGCTACCTGTCCGTGATATGCTATGCAAGATACTCCTGACCTGCGTGACCTCATTGGGGTTATCAGAGACCACTGGTTAATTTCTGGATCATAAACCTCAGCCGAATGCATACACTCTTGTCCATTGAAGCCTCCAGTTATGTATATTTTTCCTTGAAAGCAAAAATTGCGTTATTGAAACTCAGTTCACTTTCTTGCAGTAAAAATGAACGAGCATTGTTTTTGATTCTTTCTCGCAGGGTACTGATCTGGTCTTCAATTTATTACAAGCTGTTATTTAACTTGACCTATTTGTTAGTAGGTTAGTATAGGTGTGATAAATATCGGAACTGAACTTTGAACCAGTAAGCCTTAACCCACTGAGCTGAAATTTTGTACACACGTTTGGTTTGCGCGACAGCATACAGTAAATTGTATGCAGCCATTTTCAATCCGATAAGGCAAACGCTAAGAAGTGACGATTCATCACATCTATAATATTATTGTATATGGAAAGCTGCAACTGTTATCCCCGTTGGTAAAATCGATTGCGATTTCAAGCCTGTAAGCATACTTTCACTCTTGTCGAAGATTCTAGAAAAGATCGTTTATACGTCAGTAAATACAGTTTAATTTTTCACAGTGGCCCCTATAGTATGGATATCAAATAAAAGGGCTCGATGGAAGGGACGCGATAAACAAAGTGCAGGCATTTTAAAACCAAAATGGTGGCTGCCGGAAAATGGTGTCGTTTGACATTTTAAATACCTGCTAATCAGGAAAAGATAAATTAAATTAAAAGATACGTTTTTGAAACAAGCTTTTACTTAGCTGTTAATAGAATGGACATAAAATTTAAATACAATTTTTCCCGATTAGAAATATTTAAACGATAATGAAGAACCTTCATCTAAAGTTTTCAAATGAAGGAGTGTTGTGTTTTGACAGTAGATTGGAAAAGAGGTGTAAAACATTTTCATCTGAAAACTTGAGATAAAACATCTCCATTATTTTTCAGGAATTTCCAACCGAAAAATATATTTTAAAATGTTTAGACCATTTTATTAGCAGCTAAATAAAAGCTTATTTCCAAAAACGTCTGCTTTTTATTTCATTTTGCAATTGAGAAGATAATCAAGAAATACTACTTTTTGAGCAGGATCTTGGTGTATCATCTTTTCTTACTTACTGAGCATAGCAGATACCTGAAATTTATAAGACTTAAAGTGTCGTTCCATATGGAAGCACCCAGAGGATATGATACTGGTGGTATATACTGATAATAAAATAAGATACTTTTTTGAATTTGAGGTTGAACATATCATAGTGAAAGTGTGACGTTGGCAGATGCTGTACCACTAGTCTGGCGTTTCAGTCCCGAGCCTGGTCTGACTGTCACTGTCTCCGGTCGCTGTATCCATGTGGAACGGCACCCTAAGAATCCAATGACTTCAACCTACCATTTAAAGCACAAGCGCTGGCATCAGATCGTTGCATGTTCATCGGGGCTATCAATGACCACTGATTTGTCCGGTGGTCATACTTTTCGGCGGTATTTTGTCTATGATGACCGTCATAACCTCCCATTGCGTATATCAACTCGTCCAAAACCGTTGTACTTACATAGCATCTAAATAAATTGGAAACGTTATAGGTATAGGTTCGTTGTCAAAAAATATCTCGTCGGCTTAACATGCAAATTTCGTAAGTCTACCTTTAGTCAAAAATGAACTGTTGGTCCCATATTTCGTTAAATCGGCTAAGCATGATACCATTCAGCCGGCACACTACAGTTCCCTGTAGTTGTCGCAAATGGCAATGTTGGATCTCCAATAAGCGTTTAAACATTTAATCGAATGTAAGTCCGTCAGCAGCTATTTGATTTGTTGTGTGTATAATAGGTGCACTTTACAAGTGAAGTATCGTTTGTATTTTTAATTTATTGATTTATAATTGTTCGGCTATACAGTATGTTAAGGTAAAAGACAGATTTGATCAAATAGTATGTATGGTAACTGCTGTTGTTTGGAGGTAAGTTCGGTTAATAAAATAGATATGGACTTAATTCATTTTATATATTTATTTCTCATTTCTGTAAATGGACTTACAATATATTCTTGAAATTATGGAAAATAAAATATGGCTCTAGTTACACGAAACAAGAAGAGTTTTCGTGATATTATGCTGTATTTGTGAACTTATAATCTGGTTAAAATGCTTTCCAAATTTATATTTTCTTTTTGGACGTCCACATCTGTATCTCTTTAGTCAAGGATATTCTTTATTTAAGCATAATTAAACCGAAAAAGGGCGAATGCGATAAATGTGTAGCTCACAGACCGGGTAACATTTCGGAGTCAGATTTTTCTTACACCAACAGAAGGTGAAGGAAGCTAGAGAAGCTGAGGAGGCGGAAGAGGTTAATGGTTCATAGCTTCACTATCTATACGTACAATACCAAAATTAAAGATGCTTACTGTTTTATATGGCATGGAGCAGCAGGTGGTGCAACCGCGAATGATTATGCTTCTATATTATGTTTTTCGTGTTAGACAATCTCGAAAAAGACAAATCACTAATTTTGTGGAGTGACGGATGTACGTCCCAAAATAGAAATTGATATGAACATGTTTTACGGAGTCAATATTGAACAAAAATATTTAGAAAAGGGTCATACCCAAATGGAGGCGGACTCTATTCATTCTTCCATTGTGAGAGTCTACCCCCATGCAAGAAAAAACCGTTTTCTATATGTGGTTGAAGTATTCAAGCCACGATTTAATAAAAACTTTTGAAAGAATAAAATTTCTGAATTCCTTAAGGCCTGGCAAAAAGTGGGCGATCCTGAAGTGACCGATTTACGCGCCATAGCATATAAGCCTGATGGGTCCTTGTTATATAAACTGAGACATAACACAAATTATATCCCCCTAGAGCTTTGAAATACAAATAAAACTACATCTACATACTTTGGTAGTCAAAAGGCAGTAAAAAAACAAACACGATCATCTTCAAATCTTAAAATCAAGTTCAATCAAAGATTACCTTATGTTTTATGACAATTTGCCATTTAAGGAATAAGTTTCTCGTATCTTATATCCCTACAAGGTATTATTACATATTTGAATTGCAAAATTAGTTACCCACCAGTTATTTTCGTTAGTTTTATATTTTTTACATTTGCTGCCACAATGTTGTACCTCAAAAGCTGAATTTATGTACGTTTCAAGCTCGATAATCAGTATTATTATATTTATGATTATTTAAAATTTTTAGAATTGTACATTATGTTGTACTTGTACATTACTTATCTATTTTGCTAATTTTTAATGAAGAAAAAGTTGAAACAAAATCATTAAATTCGTTTTACTAAAATAAACTAATATTACACTCGCGTATTGTATGTTCTAGAAGAAATGTAGTAACTCCACAAAACTTTTGCAAATAAGGAAGCATTGTAGTAAGTCCATATTAAACCACTCAATACTAATTATTGGCAAAATAATTCTAAAATGATATTAAATTTGAACATTATTCATTAAATACTATGATAGTCACTTTCGATTAATTAACGCCATGCATCCATGAAAACAGTTTTGTCACCCTCCTATAAAATTTGACTCCTGGGACTTAGACATTTGCATGTTAAGCCGACGATCTACTGTTTATAGCGAAAGAGAAGCATACTCCCTTCCAACTCAGCGTGTTTGGATAAAAAGAGAAGTACGAGTATGATAAGTATTGATCAAACGTAGGTACAATGGGTTTTCCATTTTGCTGTCATCCAGAGTCGACCTAACTCTAAATCAGCTAACTAACCTGGCTAAAAACTGAAGAAACGTGACAACAGATGATATGGAGTAACCAATGTTGTTATTTAGACATATAAGTCAAAAAGCCGTCTTTGGACAACACCGATTTCTCGCGTTATCCAATAGTGCATGAGCTGTCTAAATGACACGGCACTGGTGTATTCCAGAACTCAAATGATTTTTGCAACACTGGTATTGGTATAAGGCAATATGCAAAAGAGCCATCGTCCAGGAACAAAACAAGTGAAAGCTTGATAGTTTGTTATTATTTGACAAGCTATCTGACTGATAGGTCTGTGCTACCTATCATATATTTTTGCTTCTACTCCCCATTTCAGTCACTAATTTTTCAGATGTGGAGAAACTGAAAGTTTGTGACGTTGTGGGTTTATGTTTTGCCGTGCACCGTGAAATTCCTTAGCGCACAAATATTATAGTGCAAATAATTGCGATACTTTTCCGATCGAAGCATAAAGTTCCAAAATGAAATGTATATGTCTAAGGAAAAGTGCGTGAATAGTGTAAACGTGTATCCCAGTAGAAAACGCTATAGTTTTCGAAACTTCTGACCCATAATTCCTGCGTAGTGAACTGAGAAAACTAACATTCCGAGGGTCAGTTAGCTTTTTTTGGAGCTGTGTCACCAGGGCCACCAGGTTACAGGCTCTTTGAGATTACAGCTTTATCTCATCGAGCTGATATGGCGACGTACTAGGAAGTTTCCTGTAATTGAAAAATGGATCTGATTCAACTCCATATGAGATAGTATAACTAATGTTTTTCACAAATTCAAAAGAAGCATTCCGGTATCGTGAAATTTGAGGAAGTTATGAGCAACCTCAAAACAGCTTAATAAATGAAATAAAAATAATTATATTTTGTAAGACAACCCTAAACCCATGGAGGCCTCAGAATTTTTAAATTGGAACATATTGTGATTCATCCTTTGAAAGGTACCTATTGTTATTGTCTTTTACGTATTTCAACTTTAATTAAGATCAAAAATCACTTCATTGCTAACTGTCTTATAGGCCGTTCTATTTGTAGCTTCAAAACTAACAAATGTAGGATGATTCAGAAACCCGAAAGATCAGAAATACTTGACAAAAGTGCGTTATAATCACAACAGTTATATGGGGACAACCAAGGTCTTCACCAACGGGAGAAAACGTGGATCGTGTGAAGTAATGATGATGATCTGAACCTCTCAATTCAAAAGCGCGCAAGTGCGTTAAATATGCCTAGCCGATCATTACAGCACACTATGAAAAAGGATCTTAAGCTGCAGCGATATAAAATTCAATTTGTACAAAAATTGAATCCCCAGGATGCTAGGCAACGGCTTAAGTTTGTAAATCAGGCAATTAAGCTCTTTTTACTTTCACTAACAATCTTGTTTTTGATTTCATCTGAATGGGCATGTCAATAAACAAAACTGCCGTTACTGGAGTGAGACTAACCCAAAACGCAAGCATGAGAAGCCCATACATTCACCTAAAGTGACCGTATGGGCTGCAATGTCGGCGCGAGTAATTATGGGCCCTTTCTCTTTCGAGGATGATAGAGGACGTACAGTGACAGTCACCTCGGAGCGTTATGTGGAGATGTTAGACAACTTCCTGGCACCTGAATCGCAAAAACTTCCTGGCTATAACCAAGTGTCATGGTTCCAGGTGGCATAAATTGGCCTCCACGTAGCCCTGATTTAACCAGTATAGGCTTTTTACTGTGGGGTTACCTCAAATCTAAGGTTTATGCCAACCTCTCTGGCGAATTTGACAGGAACTATCCGTTACTGAATGGTTATCATCACAGAGGCGACCTGCCAAGCTGTCATAAGAAATTCTAGTGTCCGAATAAATGAGTGCCGTGAACGAAAAGGTTTACATTTGGACGATGTTAGTTTCAAAAAGTAAATTCCGAAACTGTATACAATAATAAATAATTTACACATTTCCGATAGATGTGTTAGTTATTTCGTAATTAGTCCACCAAATAACTTTCTTTTGGGACACCCTGTATTTTCTTTCTTACAAGTTCCGATAGTAACATAACAAACCCTTGAATTTGATGAAAGATGTCTTAGTTACAGGGAACTTTTCACGTTGACTTCAGAATCCACAAATGTGTACTTCCTACTTGTTGGCGTATGTCTATTAGCGTTTTTCTAGTTTCAGAATCTCAGAAATGAACTGATGACCAAGTGCCAATATAATGATACCCAACGGACCGAAGTGTATCGATAATGTTTGTTAATCAATTTATATATAGCTATTTGACGTTACAACACTAAAATGACTAAAACGATTAATCATATTCATTTCCATTGAGTACCAAAATAAGTTAGAGGATTTATATTCATAAAAGCCCGTTTTATTACCTTTGTGACAATAGATGCTGTGTTCGTATTTACTACCAATCTATAGTTTTTCTAGATTTTTGTCTAAACAGTCGTATTAACTAATTAACCATCAATGTGAGCTTCTCAGCAGAACAATGTTGATTCGGAGAAATGCATCTTATCAGCCCTTACCATGAAGATATCTACAGTGAAAGCCCAATTTGTCTGACGGCTTGAGTCCAATGTATCCGGGTAGAAACACGACAAGTATATATCAACGCATATTAGAAAGAGGTTGAAACCGGCTGAAGAGTGAATATCGTCACAACATTGCCTAGCAACGATGACGCAGAAGGTCGTGCGATCTGCCGCGTTGCCAATATGTTACACCAGAAAATATTCGGACAGGCTTCTATAATAGGTAAGGTTGCTGTCAACTAAAAGAAGGAGGTCTATTCGGGCATTTAATTTATAATTTTTTTTTCATTTTGATTAGAATTATTTATTTTCATTTTCGTGCAACTTGACCTTCCATTTAGAACTTAAACCATTAGGATCGTAAGCAGTTTCGACACAATTCACCATCGGAAGTGTACACTCAAAATAAAACCATTATTTGAGCGTAGAGAATAAACTAACGCATATTTTCAACGTGCATCTTAATTTAAGGAACTGGCGGTATCTCTTTCTTGCACATGTGTCTATACACACTTCTCTCTCGTACACATTGAACTCAAGCCGCCGGAGAAATTTGGATCTTAGTGTATACAACTATTTCGTAATGTCCTTTGAATAATGACAAAGACCGTTGTCCGAAATTCGTTACAATACAACAAATAATAGTTTCTGAGATGGGAATTCATCTATATCTTTGTAACACTGTGGATACTTGAATACCGCAGTTCTACAAACGCGAATGGTACAATACCTTTAGTGTCTAATAAATAATGCTACCGACCAACAGAAACATGGCCCTGCCACTCCATCATCACTTAAGCGATATACGAGGATCAGGCTATATATTTTGAGATACACGACGAAAACTAAAATTTGTTTTTCAAAAACTAGCTTATCTGTGTTTGAAGTATTCTCCTCCAGCGTCAATGCACTTCTGTAACCTGAGCTTCCACAGATGAAATGCTTCTAACTAGTCAGTTTTTGGAGTGACTTCAACAAATTGATTAATTGCTTGACCGATTTCTTCTTCGGACGAAAATTTTTCAAGTTCTTGAAGAGCCAGAAGTCACACCAAATCTGGCGAATAAGTCCGATTTTGATGTTTCGCTGGCGTAAAAAGTCTACAGTTAGTTGGGCAGTGTGGCTAGAGGCATTGTCGTGATGCAGGATTGTACCTCTGCAACAACTTTTTCTGAATGAAGATGATCATGCAAAAGGGTGTGCACTGTTGCGGATCATACCACAACAGCTGCCTCTATAGTCGCATACGTGCAGCGAGAATTCGATTAGCCGCTGAACTGTAGCAATGTTTTCTGAAGTCACACTAGAACATGGCCTACCACTACGTTCTTCATCAGCCAATGAAACACGCCTTCTTTTAAATTCGGCATACCAGCGGAACATATGGAGCTTCACTTCCAAATGCCTGTTGTAACCGTTCGATTTATTGATAAACCGACTTCAATGTCATGGTAAATCATAGCGCGATAAGTCTCTCGAGACAACTCCATGTTTCGTCTTAAATTTGTTCACACCATGTGCACTGTAGGACGCTTGCAAATGAACTGAATGCGGCGACTTACTAATAAAGGACTGCTTTTTCTAATAGTGCACTCTTGCCGGTTTGATCTAGTATAGTTAATGCGCATCTCAAAATATACAGCGTGGCGCTCGTATCATGCAAGCTGAACGACAGACTCGTACATGTGATAACGTAGCTTAAAGAAACTGAGATTCTCAATGTTTAAAAATATCAGTCGATCGGTGTAACGTAGCCCGAATTGTGACGTCATCACACATCCACATGTACCGACAACAAGAATCTGCAAATACCAAATTTCTCGGTAGCTTTTTGAGAGATTTGAAATTCGTTTTCAGTACTATAATTCAATATCTGGAGACTATGGTTTGAAATACCCCTATAAAGGACTCTTACGGTTTTGTTTTTTCAATGAGGCAGGAGTCTTACCAGCCTACCTAGCCTTGGATGAGCAAAGTTAGTGTATCTATACAAACCTTCTTGCGTGCATAGGGGCGATCTCCTTCCAGACCTTATTGACTGCATCTAGACACCTACAGGAGTTAAAGTAATCCATTCCGTCGAAACCTCCGATAACGTAGATCTTGAATCCAACGACTGCGGTGCCGTGATAAGCGCGAGGTCCTGTCGGATCGACCTCTTCTAACTTCACCCAGCGATCCGCCCTGGTATCGTAGGTTTCGATGAAGTTGGTGGGCGAACCTCCGCTCCAACCTCCAATGGCGAATAGGATCTCGTGCGGTACGCGAGGTCGTGCGATCTCGGGCGTTATTACTTCTCCGTCTCTAGGAGACCAAATGATTAGGAAGTGGCTGCCGCTCGAATTTGGGCTGAAAGCATAGAGAAAGAGAGAGAAAGTAGAACGCCTCTCTCTATCCCTCTACAGTGTTTCTTACATCAGTAGCCAGAACACGAAGAAAGTTGATTAGGCTTTTCTGAGTATATGTCGACGTCATAGGGTATCACCAGCTCGTACAGAAGTTATATTATACTAAATGACATAGAAAATGCAACACCGACCAGGGTTGCTGTAATTTTGAGCATACTTTTACTAGTTTTTGGTCTACTGACAAATAAAAAGTGATGAATCTTAACTGCAAATTTCGAAAAATAGCTGAAGTAATGTTAATAATGTGTTGAAGCTCCTCTGTTACACATTCGTTAAGGCGACGAGGCATTGATTGGATTAGGCGATTGATGTCTTCTTGGTGTATTGTATCGCATGCCGTCTGAATTTGGTTTCGTAGAGCCTCGAATGTTTATTGAGGGTGCGGTGAGTTTTGCAACCTTCTTCCCATCAAGTCCCACACATGTTCGATGGGGGAAAGCTAAACAAACACGAGCGATATGAGGTCGTGCGTTGTCCTGCTGAAAAAATGGATCTTGCAATGTTTGCAGAAAGGGAAGCAGCTGTGGTTGTGAAACTTCGTCGATATAGCGCTGGGCAGTCATATTACCTCGAATGAACACTAATCGTGTCCTGCTGCCGTAAGCAGTAGCACCCCATACCATCAGATCCACGGTGCGATGAATATGCTGTTCGATGGAATATTGTCTTTCACCACGTCTCCTCCTTACTCTTGCACGGCCATCATCTGTGCCCAAGCAAATTCTGGACTCATCACTGAAGACAACTCAGTTTCATTTCATATTCCATTCAAGTCTCTCCCTACTCCATACCAGTCGTTGTCTGCGATGCTGTGGGGTCAGAGGTAGTACAAGATGGGAACAGGCCAAAAGATCATATTCGGCGATAAACTGTCCTCATTGTTATTGCTCTTCCGACAGCATCAAACCACTGATTCGCAACTGCCCTTGTTGTGGAAAATCGATCTCTAAGTGCTAGTTACCTCAAATAACGATCCTGTCGCTCTGTATACTGTCTTTGATGTCCAGTACTTCGATTTCGGCCTTCTTGCAACCACGACAACATCTGATTAAAGTAGCTTCGTTTCGATTCACCCGATTATATTTCTCTAAAAGAAAATCCGGTTTCACGTAAACCGATTATCAGACCCCTCTCAAACTCGAAAAGTTGAGTAAAATTAGCGCGTCTACGAACTCTAGACATGGTAATGCAATGAAACAGCAATGAATCAAATGAAATCAACACTAAATATTAAGTGAACATGTTCAAATTGTAAAAAAAAACCGTTACAAAAAGACTGCGGCTCGGAATCCCTTCAACATTTTATCAGCGTATACTTCCATGGTAGCATAAATGCTCACAAGATTTTATAATTCTGGGTGTTGCATTTTATATGTCACAGCGCATTTCCAGCAAGACGGTAGATTTACCCGGATTCCATAGTCAAAAGCCAGTTTTTCCGAGAAACCCTCATACATTGCCAAAATACGTATAGAGGCCAATCCAATACTTCAAACGACAGCTTCAAAACGTCTTTACATACATGTGTTTGCCTTCGGAAGATCATCAAACCGCTAAGTCTAGTGCAATGGTAAATCTTGATCTTGATTTTACATGCTTATACGCGAAACTTGAATAGCCGAAATGAAAATTTTCTTGACGTTGTAATTCTTTGACTTGGATCCCTGACATGTCAGACAGATGAGGCTTACGAATTTCCTAACGCTAGGATGCAGCTTTATCCTCACTGCGACTCAAAACCACTGTGAGACATACTACTCTTGTGTGTGTGTACGCAGCGAATGGCATCGGAACCTGGTGTCCATTTGCCACAAAATAATAAAGACCACACTACAAAAAAAAAAGAAATGACCATTCTATATCAGATTCATATATTTAACTTTATCGTTTTTAAAAATTTTATTATCAAAGTATAGATAGATTTATCGAAAGATGCTAAAATGGTAGTGATATTTAATGGTAGCAATCCGTGTTGCAAGATTTGTTGTATGAATTGATCGGAAAATTTAGAATGAAATTTACATGCAAAAAATATGTGGTTTATATCCGCTATAGAATCACCATCACAACTACACAGTGGGGAATCTGTCACACCTATTCTATATAGGTGGGCAGGGAAACAGCCATGATTTAGCTTTAGTCTAGTTATGGTGGACGAGAACTCTCTATTTGGATAAAATGTATCTATGTGCGGGATATTTCTTGGAAGATTAGGGTGCAGTAGTGTGTAGTGGTTGTGGGATTTCGACACAAAATCGGACAAGATCAAGTTCCATCTCTTTCTGCCGTTCTCTTTAATTCCTATGAATAAATCAGAGTAAGCTGGGGCAACATCCGTGATATTATCTGAGGTCCTAGCTTCTTTTGCAGCCTTGTATACCTTTTCATTGCCCCTAACGCCAGCATGCCCTTTAACCCATAAAAAGTTTATACGTGTTCTTTTGGCTTTGCCAGTTACAAGCAACTTCCTAATGTCACATATTAAAGCATTATTATATAACTTGATAGGGTTACTTCTCATTGCCTCTAAGACAGATCTAGAATTTGTAGCAATTGCGGCATGAGAGATACCTTGCTCCAAGCACCATGTTAACGCTTGACGGATTGCAAAAGCTTCCGCAGTAAATATCGAACAAAAGTCAGGGATATGAAAGCTGGTATAATGATTTAGGTGTGGAACGTAGAATGCACAGCCGGTGCCCATCTCACTTTTAGAGCCATCGGTAAAAACTACAGTCTGGCAATTAAGACCTGCCAGTACGGTTGATAGAACTGATCTATTATAATCAGGGTTTTCTGTGTACGTGGGTGTTAGGATACTTGTTTCATTCAAAAATACTTCATACGTACAATTATATAAAGGATATTTATCTTCCGGGTGTATATAATTCGAGAGATTACAAGTGACCACGAAAGCCTCAGCCAGCATAGGTGAGCCTTTCTTGGCCCAGAAGCTATACTAAGTGACATATAAATCCGAACACCCAGTTTAAATGGTTTTATTTTAATAAAATTTTGTATAAGTACTTAATGAAGCATAATAAGTAAATGATAAAAATTTCAAAATGATTGCACTGCTTTAAAGCCCTTTGACCTATATATAATAATGTGTGGATGCACCCTGATGTGCTACGCATTCTCCAACGCGCCTAGGCATGCTTCTGATCAGGTGGTCAATGTCCTACTATGGTATCTCATTCCAGGCAACCACCAACTCCTCTCGAAGTGCTTCTAGAGTCTGAGGAGGACGTTGCAAATTGAGCAATCTCCTACCCGTCATATCCCACACGTGCTCAATTGGGAATAAGTCGGGAGATGTAGGTGGCCATGGTAACAATGTAACATCATTATGTTGAAAGAAGTCTATTGTGACTCTTGCAACATGTGGTCGGGCATTATCTTGTTGGAATGTTGGATCTGCCAGGGTGTCAAGATAGGGTAAAAGATGGGGTTCTAGAACTTCGTGGATATAACGCTGCGCGTTCATGTTACCTCTGATGAAGATTAAAGGTGACCTGGAACCATAAGCTATAGCACCCCAAACCATAACTCCAACAGTGTGATGAACATGTCTTTCAACAAGAAAATGTGGATTCCTCCTTTCACCACGTCGCCTTCTAACCCTGGCACGATCATCGTGCATGCCTAAACAAAATCGAGACTCGTCACTAAAGACAATACTGTTCCATTCCTGATCCCAGAGTGCACCACTCAAGGCGATTACGTTGGTATTCTCGAGTTAAAGGGAGGACCCAGTGTGGCCGGCGCGAAAACAAGCCAAAACTTCTCATTCGTCAGTAAACACTTCGCATGCCAATATGTCTTCCGTGATCTGCAAACCATTCATTTGCAATGGACCTGGTAGTGGAGAAACGGTCCCTTAAGGCCAATAAACTTAGGCGGCGATCTTCACGGTCTGTTGTTCTACGGCGGCGTCCAGTGCCCCTTGCTCTTTGCGTACGGCCTTCTCGAAGCTATGCCTGACAACACCTAACCACAGTGTCTACACTTCTTTGCACTCTAACTGCAATTGCCCGAAAAGAAAGTCCAGCTTCCCGAAGTCCCACTATACGGCCCCTATCAAACTCACTAAGTTGACGAAAAATCGTACAGGTCTCCGTACTCTAGGCATCGTAACCGATCGTAAAGGATGTCAAGAACCAAAATCCGCCAACGTCGATTCTTTACTGCGGCTGAAATATTCATTTTTAGAGCGTTAGTGAATTAAACAAAAGCAGTATAAAAACCGGAATGTCCAACTGATAAGGCTGAAAATTTTTTCACTTGTTATTTACAGTAAGATAAATACATTCACCAACTTTTATTAAAATAAAACCATTTAAACTGGGTGTTCGGATTTATATGTCACTTAGTATATTAGTGAAGTCTTCTGATGTTAATTGTGATATTTTGTCCAACAGAAATTTGTTACATGACCTGTACTTTACAACCGTTCTCTCTGCAAAGTACCGCCGTCAAAGTGAGCGGAGGTTCCTTTGCTTCGGCTAGAACAGCTGGACTAGGTGACGATCTCATGACTCCCATGCAAATTCTCAAGGCTTGCAGCTGTACACGATCAAGTTTTTTTAAGTGGGACTTAGCTGCTGAACCATATAGCACACATCCATAGTCCAACAAAGATCGAACATATGATTGGTAAAAAATTAGTGCTATTTTTGGGTCTGCACCCCATTTTTTTTTGTGGTGCACTTAAGAATGTTGATCCCTCTCTCGGCTTTGGATTTTATGTATTGGATATGCTTGCCACATAAGAGTTTGCAATCCAGTACTATACCTAAGTATTTGTATTCCTGCACTACAGGAATAACGACGTCACCGTACCAGAGCTGACTAGGAAGCACATGTACCTGGTAAAACACATTATCGCGGACTTCTCATTGGACAGCTGAACGTTCACCTCTAGAAACCAATTCTTTACCTTATCAATCGCTTTTTCTAACAGTTGAAGGCAATAATCATATGAATGGTGTGCTATATATATACAGATATCGTCCGCGTATTGTATGACTTGCACCTCCTTGTCGAATATGCCATGGCTGTGTAGAAATTGAATAAGTTAGGGCTGAGAATTGAGCCTTGCGGTAACCCGGTGTAAACCATCCTAGGACCATGCAATTCATTTCTGTGACCTCTTATGTAAATTGTTCTGTCCTTGAAGAGCTCTATTATACTGGCTGAAGAATTCCCAGATATGCCATTTTGTATCATTTTTTTCATAAGAATTCCTAAATCTACAGAATCATACGCACCCTTGAAATCCAGGAACCGGCATAGTAAGTAATGGTTTCTAGAGAAACAAAGTTGCACATCTAAAACTAGCTGGGTCACGGCATCCAAAGTTCCACGACCTCTTCTAAAACCGTACTGAGAGATCGGTAGCAGCTTTTTGCTTACGAGATAGAATTCTAGTCTAAGCTTGATCATGCGTTCAAAAGTTTTTACTATGCAGGATAAAAGTGAGACGGGTCTATACGAGTCCATGTATCCTGGCTCTTTACCCGGCTTTAGTATTAGACATATGATTATAGTTTTAAATTGTTCTAAGAACAAGTGTTTTGTCCACCACTCGTTGAAAAGTTGAAGGAGCAGAAATTTAACAGAATCTGGCAAGTTATCTAGAATGTCATAGGTAAACCTGTCTAATCCAGGTGAAGTATTTCTGTTATCCTTGAGGCATGTTTCCAGTTCTCTGAAAGTGAATGATTTGTCAATGAGGGACTGATGATTTTGACTAAAGTTATGAGCATTTGCTAAAAGTGCTGCTGCCACTGACAGAGGTGCAAAGTTGTCCAAGAGCTTTTCATTCAAATCCTTGGTAATCGGAGCTTTATTGGTAGTTGAATTTCTATTTACTGATTTCACAAAACGCCAAATTTCGCTAACAGGGGTTTTTCGATTTAGTCTGCCTAAAAAAGACACCCAGCTTGACCTTTGTTTCTATTTGAACAACTTTTTAACTTGAGCTGTGGTTTTTTTATATGCAATAAAATTTTCATAGTTTGCTTGTATCTTGTAGTTTCCAAGAGCCTTCTTTCTAGCCTCAAATATTTCTGTATAGTCCCTGTC